GCTAAGGAGCAAATTTTGTGGAAGATAAATCTTGAATTTTCATTACCTGCTACTTGATGATTTCTAGTTTTCTTATCATGAATAATTTACTTTTACATTTCTCTCTCCAACTCACTTTGTGATGACAAACTTTTTGGTGAGTTTGTGGGAAGTTTGTTAGAGTCCAACTTGCATTAAATTGGCAGGATGTATGTTGTGAAAGATGGTCTTTTTTGGACTTAAATGAGGAAAGTTAGTTCATGCCGGGTGTCGATGAGGAAAATAAGCAATCGCAAACAAAGAGGATTTCCTCAATATTTTTTTTAATGTGAATGGGTTTTTCCATTGTTATAGACCCAGAACCAGCCTGAAAACTACTTCATTTCAAAAAGGAACTTCAGGCTTATTCTCATAACAGATTCATATTAAGAATTTGAGTTCAGGTAGAATGTGTTTGCATCATTGAGGAAGCTGCTTGAAGTTACCATAGGGTAGGCTCTAGGAGAAGTTAAAAGGGTTAGGAGAGGTTGTCTTATTACTAAAGCGAAATCCATGATTTGAACATTGTGGGTTCAAGTTTGAGGTTCTAATGCTTTGCATTTGATTTACTAGGTTCGCAATCTGTAATTTGTACTCATCAAAGTAGATTTTCTAACACATACACAGTTCCGAGCCAAAGCTATTGGGTTTGAATGAATCCATGAGATGTATGCTAGCTCCATTTATGCTTATTGCGTCGCTGGGCAAATAAAAAGATCCTGTGCTGACTAATGTTTATGTAGCTGAATTAGTATCTTGGAGATTTTGATATAGCAGTTAAAATTCATATTAAGTTCTAAATTTATGTATGTTGCTATAAACCATTAGTCGACAGTTGTCTTTTCAGTTGTCTTAATATTTAGATATACTATTTTTTTTACAGGGACTTGCAGTCTTATCTTTCACATCTTCACGTTTTCCTCGCCCCTGAGAGTAAGAGATTATATATCTTGGTCGACAACCGTCCATGGCTTAGAGATCTTGTCTCTAAACCTGCACACTTATGGCAATTGATGGTTACCAAGGTTGGTAGTGCATTATTTCCCTATTTTCCTTTTTATCTTTCCTGTATGTTTAACTAGGAGTTTGTTTTTCCAAATGCAGTCCAGGTTATCTCCCTTTGCAAATACCAGAGGGAGGAAGCAGAGGAAAGAGAATGGAGATATAATGGATATAAAATCTAATCCAGAATTAAGCACGAGTGAATCAGAAAACGTCAGAAGATGGTTTCCGTTTCTTGATGCTGTAACATTGTCAAAGAGGAGGGAATTATTACCTGTAAAGAAATTGAGGAACTCTTTGATCTTGAATAGCAAATTACATAGGACCTTATATGGGTTCATTGTGTTTGAAGTTGCGTGGAGTGATGTGCGTGGTATAAATTACTTCAATGAGCTTCAGGTATAAGTCACTTCCTTTGGTTGTTTGACCTTTTAAATGTATGCTCCTAACTTGTTTTAAAATCTTGGGCAGACAGATACATCACTTGCCATAGAAACAAAGTTCATGAAAAGATGGGAATTTGATAGTGTAGCACAAGCTGCTAAATGCATGTCGTCATGGTTTTCTGGGACTCCCACAGAACATCATCTCCTGAAAGTGTGTTTGGAATCTACTATAGGTATGCTTTATTCACATGGTATTTGATACTATGCTTCTTTATTTGATTCAATAAAATAGTTACCTGGTCCTATCTAGGGCCAGTGATGACTTCAGCTCTTCCTGCATTTTCCTTTGCTTTGATTTATGCATGTAGAGATCCACTTCTTTGTGTCTTAAGTGTGCCTATAAGAAATGAACCATTTTTCCTTGGTTGGAGGAGCTCTACAGAGTTATATAGTGAACGGAAAACCACTGAATTATCTTGGGATAGAGAGTGCAAAATACCATTGGCATTTTTGGAAAAAGAGAGATTCCAAAGTTTCTCACTCAGTAATAGTGATTGTACTTTCCATTGAAACTTGTTCTAATCTGCTTTCATTAAACAAATATTTGGTTCAGTTATTAGCAAAAACCCATCTAATCAGCTGTAAGTTCATTTCTTCATATGTACTTAATGAACTCCTCTACTATGCTTGTGAAATTCTTACATGTATTTTGCGGCAAACTTTTACAGGAGAGGTATTTTATGATTCTCAAGACATTTTCCGGGATACTTCTGATGTGGCGGACAGTGATATTTCTTCTGCCAATTCAAGTGACGATGATGAATCTCCTTGCGGTTCAATGAGAAGTTTCAGTATGTACCCTGCAACAGCAAATGGTGAAATTTCTCTGCATACACCAACTTCACTTGATGAACCTCATAAGAGAAGAAAACTTTTGAAGTCTATCAGTAAGCGATTCAATGTTGATATGCTCTCTGAGGAGCCCTTTTCTGAATCTATTGACTCACAACTACATGGTGAGCCCTCTGACAGAAGTACTTCTGAAGTAGTTGAAGCCTCCCAGTACAAAGATATTTTGCTTTTGTTTCGTTTTAATCATCGTGATTTCCCTTTCAAACTGAGAGACATCATTCTTTCGGACTTACGGCTTCTTAGACTACTGGAAGCTGGGCTTCCGTCATGGGTCATATTTCTCCAGTCCTATCCAGTATTTTGCCATATTTATCGCCCATGGATGTGCCCTCTAGCAAGATTTTTATATGTCATAATCTCTGTGGTTACTGTTCTGATTGGATTTTATGATTTATACAAAAATGTACCTGTACTCAAAGCGACAGCATCTAGTTTGTTTGGTCCTCTTTTTGATTGGATTGAAACATGGGAAATGGTATCAAGAATTCAGTACTTGGGAACCATGCTATTTCTGCACAATTTTCAGAAGGCCTTCAGGTGGTTCCTCATGACAATGCGTACTACTCGATCATTTTTCTCCGTTCTCACACAGCCAATGGCAGGTCCACTTGTTGAGTTTGTGGGATTCTTCCTTCCTTACTCGACTATGTGTGCACAAATTATGGAAGATTTCTTTTCCGTGATATGGTTTACAGTCTGGTCTTCTTATACCTTGGTGGGAAAAACCATTGAGATTTTATTACTACCTCTCTGGTATACCACATCGTTTATTTGGAATCTTGGTAAGTATATGTGCAACTGCTGAATATGATCCCAATTCTCTTGCTTAAAATGGTTTATGAATTTAAAATTGGTACTCTCTGTGTGAGACTTCTTTTTTCTGATGGGATTTTTCTCAATTGCAGTGACTTATTTATTGTATCCTATCTTCTGGATTCTGTGGGAAGTAACGTATGCTCCAATTCGGCTGGTCTTTGGTTTTTCCAGCCTTCTGGGCTTTTTATGTACTTCTATATATGAAGTGATTATGGATTCATGGCTGTTCGTGAGTAGCATAGTTCGAGTCACTTCTCAGGTGGAGACTACAGTGACATCCAGTGCAGTATCCGTATCCATATGGCGTTCTCTTTGGAATGACCTTTTCTCTCAGGTAGCTCACTTGTGTCCATTTGATCCTAGTATGAGAATTATTGAAAGTTCTTGTGCTTATACGTTTCTTCCGAGTTTTGACTTCTACAGATTTTCAAAGCTCTTCGAAGTATTCTCTATGGTTTTGTTGCCTTTTTCACAGCCTGCAACAGACACCGGCTAAGGTATGGTTCTCTAGTTTGTTGGTCTCTTATTGAGAATGCCATTTTCTATGGGTATGGGTACTTTCAAAATTTAATTTCATTGCCTGCGGCCACGTAGCATTTGCAACCGACAATATGGGAGTTTAGATTTTGAACTAAGAAGGCGTGATATTTAACATAGAAAATATAGTTAGGATATATGGGATGGGTCTGATTGACCTCCTTATGGTGGACTAAATATCTAAATGGCTAAGGAAGTTGGTGTTAATCAGCAGACTATGTGGTACTTATTTCTTTTTTATGTTACCTGACTGCTAGTGTATCATACGTTATAGGCTCTATCAAAAAGACGTGTATTACAGCACAGCGCGAAAAATGAGTGAAACCTGTCCTGTTTCCTATGCATCCTGATAAAGATTTTCTGGTCTATTGCAACTCTGAAATGCTAATAACTTTTGATTGTTTTATGTGAAATTTTTCCTGGGATGTACCGCCTTTAGGATTGGCTGATTTCATCTGAGATGCTTTACATTTGCAGTATCTATAATCATATGAGTGATTTTATACAAAGATTATCCCAGCCTGGGAAAAGGTCACAGCCTGCAGAACGTGGCCGCAGTCCGCCAACATCTGGAACACAAATCACGGTATTTAGAGTCTTGTTGATCATATTTACTAGTACATCTTATTAAAATAGTATAAATTTCTGTAAATCTTTTTGGAGGATGTTCGTTTTGATGTTGTGGTTGCTCCTTTCCTTCCGAAACTTGGTTGGTCTAGTTTTTGTGCATTACAGACTTATCTTCTGAACTTTTCAGTAACTGTTAAACTTCATCATTTTCATGCCAAATGATTATTCACTTTTGCAGTGGGTGAACACAAAAGATGTGCAGCACCAGCGAAAATTCAGAAAGATCGATTGATGATAGCAGAGAAACGTCTGCACCTTTAAATTGTACAGCAGAAGTTAACTCCATCCCTGACCAGGAAGCTTTCCGCTGGTGGCATGTAAGATAAGGACTATCTTCAAGTGAAAATATCATATAGAAAGTCAGTTATTTGGCTTCTCCTTGGCTGTTGCGCCACGAGATTTTTTGTTTCAATCTACTTATTTATCGTCCCCTTAATAGTGTTCATTCAGTATGGAGCCTCCACCTAGAAGAGCTTGTAGTATACCAGAAAATGTCTTGTAAATAATGCAAACATTGAGATACTTTTGAAATACATAGTAGAAATGTTAGAAGTATTCAATGCCTGCTTACTAACATTTTTCTTTGGAGCTGTTTATAAGTTGAGCAGAAAGATATAGAGAAGATTGTAGCAGTATGGGTTCTGTGTTGTCTGCAATGTATGAACCCAACCAAATTACACTATACTATAGTGATCTCGAACGATTTAACTGGAAATGGAATAATATGTTGTTCACATATCGAACAAGATTCTTGTTTCTCATGGTGTCTAGTTACAACAAAATACATGAGATTCACAGTATCTCAGTTATTGAGGAGACAGGCAACACTTAAACTTGACGACAAGAAGCAACTGGAAATCTTCTTGCAACAGTAAGCAATACGTAGCTACGGTTAAACATAAGACGAAACCACATATATGCTTCTACAGTACTTAGAGTAGCACAAGCTACATTCATTAAAGTCTACAACCTAGAAACAAAAGAGATGGGACGCCTCAAATAGTTGAGCCTCCAGTTTGATGCAACATTGCATCAATTTCATCGCCATCCTCCATCTCCAGCTGAAGCAAGGAAGAAAAGTTGTTAGAGAAAAAGAATTAATCACAAGAGCGCAAAGTATAAAGCATAAGAGTAAACCAACATTGTGTATCATTAGTTCCTTCTTTTGTTTTATGTGTGAACATGGGTCTGAGAGAGGTACCTCATCTGGAGTCTGCTCTCCTCGAAGACGGCGACCATCAAACAAGAATGCAATTGAATTAAAATCCACAGACTGCCGGTCACAATACGCATTCATGAGTTTCTTTAGCTGGGTGCTTCTTTTGATCCTAAAGAAGACTTCATTCCCGTCCTGCAACCAATAGAAAGCTAAATATGTAAGTCTCTCAATGTTGTCCAAATTGTTATGGGAGGCAAGAGGGCACTTCTCTTTAACAAGCACCCGTCACCATTATGATAAGATGGGAAGATGGAATCAACCACACACAACATCACAATCCGCAATCAGATTGCAAAGCAAACAAAGAGAAATCTGAAGACAGAGTAAGTAGGATCAACTACACATTCAACACAAATGCACTTTATTCCAGGTGGGCTGCTTACCTTATCTGCCAAACCATCACACATAATTTTAATATGACTAACAACATAGATACGACTAAGGGAAGTCGTCTACCACTAATTGATGCAAGCAATTTTATGCGGAGCATCAAAGCCTACCATTGATGACTAAGGCATGATCCTCAGCGAACACCATCCGTTACACTGTACCTAGACACCTTGGTTTATTACACTATCAAATAGATGTATTCAAATGTCAAAAATATAGAACTATCTCAATCTAACACAACAAACACAGAAAAAAAGTGTCGCTTTACCAATTACCATCTATACTCTTACCCCCAACAATAACCCTTCCCCACAAGAATGACTGGAATCCCCACAAGGGAAGAAGACTACTCAGCAAACAATATCTTACTCGATCAGACACAATTGATAATAAACCTAGCTTGGTAAATGGCTCAGGAATTAGAGACTTCTGCAACCACAAAATGCACACCAGAGTTTTTAAGGGAATATCTATGAAATTAGTCTGAAAAACATATATTATCTTCGATTAATGATGCGGAGGAATGTTTTTTCACCTCAAAACACAAACAGATACATTATTATTACTAATATACATTCTTTGCAAAAACAATGATACATACACCCAACTCCTGGCACACTTGAAGCATTTCATAAGCTTCTGTATTTGCATAAAGACTATCACAAGATTCTCTAGCGGTAATAACAAAATACCGTTGACTAAAATATGAGACAACTGTTCAAGCGTTCAGTTTCGAATGATTCAGTTAACGTTTTCAAACAAATTTTCGACTTGCACGTCAGTTATAGAAAATTTAAAACTTCCCCTGCAGCATCCAATCCAAATTTTAAAGAATGAATAAACAAGCAAACAAAACGAAACAACAATAGTAACACATTATCAAAAATCAAAAACATGTTAAATGCACCTAGCAAAAACACCAAAACTAATATGAGATTACCCGTTTAATCATTCAGTTTCGCACAAAATTTACTACTTTATTCAAGTCAATTACACATTTGGCCGTAAAATTCCAGAAAAGATAATAATTTTGTTCACTTTTTTCAAGAGCTTTCAGAAATTCCAAAAAGAACAAAAAGTTTCAGTTTTTCTCTCTCGAAATTACTCGCTAAAACTCAAAAACAACTCTAATTTACTTCATGGCCAAACACGTTATACATCATTTTTTCATTAGAAAACAAATACTATTTTTATTTTCAATTTTCACAGTGAAATATAGCCAAACGCCTATTATAGACTCACAAATCAGTTACAGAAGATCTAAAAGCTCAATCCAGATTTTAAAGCATGCATACAAAAAACCAGACATGCTCATCTTCAAAACGAAGACAGAATCTAACACATACTCCCTTTGTCTCAATTTATTTGACCTGTTTTTTACTTTTCGACAGTCAAACAGTTTGAGAGACACATGAAAAACTTACGATCAAACGTAAACTAATTTTGAATGTCAAAATTCAAAAAGTATCAAACAAAACCCTAAGCAGGGGAGACAATATGCGGATGAGTATAAAGAGAAAGGGGCAGACCTGACTTTTGACTTTGAGATTGATGTGAACTTGATCGCCGCCGGGCTTCTTGTCTTCCTCCGCTGCTTGAGACATTTTTCTGTGTTTTTTCGCCTAAACCAAAAGAAGATAAAAGAGAAGATTATTGGATTATCAATTTTAAGGTTTTTCACTAATTTATACTTGTACTCTTCTCTATTCTATTTCCCATTCTACCCTTCGCGTAAAAACCACGCAACTTTTTTGCCTTTTCAATTTTGTCTTTTTAAGTCCAATATTTTTGATGATGTATATTACTCCACATAGGATAGGATGCCAATTATTATTGAACGTATATTTATTTAGTTTTATAAAAGTATTTAAATTATTATTAATATTTATTTAAAATTAACTATTATTAGGTATATTTATGTAAGTTGAAATTTGTTAAATAGTATATTTATGTATTATATATTTAAAGAGTATGTTTTATTTGCTGATATTATTAGTTGAATTATATTTTATCGATTACTAATTTCCTCATTATTTAATTTTGAAAAGTCCAATTTCATATGGCATTGTTATTTGTTTTGTCACCGTCTTTTACTTATTTTAATGGTTTGTATTTTATTCAACTTTTTTTTTACAGCCCTAATTCAATTATTTTTGCCTTTTGTTTTTTGTAAGCTTAGTGTTCTTCAAAATGATTAGTGTGGCGACGTTATTATTAGACGATGAAAAATGATATACTGTAACATTGGAATTTTATGAGATTCTATGCAAAGATATGTTCAATTTGAGTTGTAACTCTATAAATTGTAGTCAACTCAAAATACGATTCTTGGAGGTTACTCAATCCTAAACTCTAGTTTAATTATGTCTATATAAAGGCTATTAAATTCTTTTAAAAGGCATCGATACTCCGGAAATTAATGAATTATTCAAGAGAGGTCAAATCTAAATCATGTTTTCCTCATATTTTATTTGTGTGCTTTATTTATTTTTAAATATTTTTTACAAACAATCTGAAAATAAAAAATTTATTATTTATTATTAGAAAGAAGACTTCTAGTCATAAGTTACGTAGCGAACTACGATTAATATTAATATATTTTTTTAAAAAAAACTTCTAGTAGTATGATTGTCGAGACCTTTCGTATTTTGAAGATATTGAATAATTACTACAAAGATTTACACTTCGAAGTTTTCAAAAACTTAAGTTTTTTGGTTGTAATAAATGAGATACAGGAAATTAAAAAAGTGAAAACGTAAATTTTTTTAAAAAAATTAAGATTGAAATGTTAGGGAAAAAAGGGCGAAGATTGAAAAAAAGAAAAAAGAAAGAAAAAGTGTTTAGTAATATATGAAAGCAGAGGCATCTCCGACCATACACTCTATTTTACTCTTCAAATATAGAATTTTTTATTTTTTCAGACAAACAACTTCAACTCAATTCTCTATTTTACTTTCTAAATTTTTTTTTTTCTCTTTTTAATATTATATTATTATTTCTATTTGATTCTTATTTTTTAATTTCATTCTCATGTGATACAAAAGTTTATTTTTTCAATTTTTTAAAATTATTATATTTAATTCAAAAATTTTAAATACCATAAATTACAGGAGAATATGATATAAAATATAAACTAATGAACAAATTCAAATAAAATTGAAATACGATGACATAAACATTACATAATCACTCAATTTTTAAAATTATTACGTTGCTCCAATAAATACTCTATTAATGCATTATGGAGTTCAAAATAATCATTTTTGTCCTTGATTTTATTATGTCTAGCTAAAAATTGTTCAAATCGGAGATTTTCATCTAACACCATTTTTGTCGTTGGAGTTGGAGCCTCTACGACATCTTGAATTGGTGCATTAAGATCATGACCATCCTCAATTATTACGTTGTGCAATATAATATATGTAGTCATCATATCATGTAACACTTTCTTTCTCCGAAATGTAATGGACTTGCAATAATTGCAAAACTCCGAATTCGTGTTCAACATCTTATTGTATTTTATGTTGTATTTAAATTATTATGTTGTGTATTGTATTGTTATCTTGTATTTAAATTAAAATTTTCATATATCATTTTAATTTTGTGTATTCTTTATAATGAAAATTAGTATAAAATAAAATTTTATTATTGATGAAAATTATTTTCAAAAAAATACTAATTTGAAATTCAAGTAGTATATATTAAATAATATGTTTTTTAAAATATTATATTATATTTAAATTGACTTATAGATTTAATTAATGAAACTATATGTAAAATAATATGTTAATTGAAAAGTAATGGAAATAATAATAATAAAACATTGAAAAAATAAAATAGAGAGTGTGAATAGTAGTTCTCCAAATTTGAAGAACTACTATTCAACTCTATAAATTTGAAGAATAGAGAGTGATTTGGAGATGGGTTGGAGTGTTCATTCTCTATTTTACTCTTCGAATATAGAAAATGGAGAGTTAAGTAGAGGTAGATTGAAAATGGTATGAGGGCGGATAATCAGCATTAGAACCAAAGCAGTTAAAACACTTCAATGAATGTGGATATTCAACTGTTTAATAGGTTAATTTTAAATAGTTTTGATTTAAATTTATACGCGTCGAGATTAGTGGGTAATCGAACATTTGAAATCTTAGGTCCACTCCTGAATATAATATAATTTGATACATCAATTAATAGTTTTATATTTTAATCTAATTTAAGTGACTTGTTAAGATTTTTTTTTATAGTTCAAAATGAGTGCATTTTTTCAAATTTTGAGAGTGTATGAAAAATTACATTTCTCACATTTAACCTTCTTATTAACGAAATTCTTAACTATTTGCATATTCTACAATCTAAACAAACCACTTTATCAATGCACAAAATTTAGTAATATACATTCTATCCTTTTGGATACATTGTGTTTTTTTGCTTTTTGGATATATTCGTTCATTAAGTAATGTATTATTTATCATTCGTAAGTTTTGTTTCTATATATTTTTATTGATAACAACATGGATAATATGGATCGAATAAAAGATTTAGAGGAGCTTGATGTACACAAAATCAAGAAGTACAGTGTGTAAAATGTTCATCTACATTAAGAGAAAGAAGAAAGAGACCACTTGTGTAAATGGTCATCTTATAATTTTCAAGAATTCACAAAACAAGACAACCAAAAAAGGTCCATACCTCATTAAGGATAAAATTGTTAAAGAAGTGTCTTTTTTATTTTATTAGTATAAATAGTAGTTTCTTTTATTTTGGAAGACTTAGAGGACGTGAAATTTGAATGTTAAATGAACAAACTCTTTCAAGGGTGTAAATTTAAGGGTGGAATCCCTTAAGGTTAGCTTAGCTTAATCTAGATTATTGATGGGAGAATTTTCATTGTTGATTTAGAACTTCTTAATCTTGATTTCACTTGAGATCGCTCATTTGTGGTAAATAAGGGGTGAGGGGTGGCTCGACAGTGTTAAAAAAATGACATGTGCTTTAGGCCCCCAAATTTAAGGGGCCACATTTTTTATAATAATAGGTTATAAGTTAGTATTATTTTTAACAAATATTGAATACTATTTGTAGAAAAAGTAAACTTTTCATGAAAATAAAGGAGTTATTAAAAGAAAAAGTTGACATATTTGGAGTATTATATCTCATTAGACATAATTTAAAATAAGAATGGCTATATTATCAATTGAAAACTAGAAGAAATCAATTATATAACGTTTTTAACAATTCAAACTTAAGGCCCCGTTTAATTTTTGTTTTAGGCCACTAATATGGTTGAATCACTCCTACGTGGTTTTCAATTTGAGTTGTTTTTTTTTTCAAATTCAAGTTTCTCTTCTTCCTTGGTTGATTGTTTAACCAATTAGCCTTTCTTTCTGCTTTCTCGTCTCTTATTTCTTCTAATCTATTTTACTTTTGTATTATTTAATTCCATTTTTTATTTCAATTGGTTCCATCCTCAATTTGAATCTTTATATGAAAAAGTAATCGATCCAACATAAAAAATATAAAACAAATTAAGTCATGATACATCTATTGGTTCAATTTTTGCCTAACTCTTGGGCCAATATATGTCCAATTTCTTAGTTTAGTCCAAACTATAAGCCCACTCTCATGGGTTCAACATTTTAAGCTCCTTTGGACTCTAACATGGAGAGCCTCTCTCAAAGAATTCATGAAACAAAGTGATCTTATTTATTTTCATTAAGATTAAAACTACAAAAAATTTGAATATTAAGATGTGAAGACTGAGACGTCTAAATGTACTGTATAAAGTTATTATCTTTATATCTAAATATAAATAATTAAAATTATTTGTTTTTAATATGTGAATACACATGATTTATCTTTTCAAACATAATCAATAAACAATTCACAAAAAAGATAATTTCAGTGAAATAAAGATTAAATTTGTATCGAAAATAATATTTTAAAGATATAAATAAATGTTTTAACATTGATTCTGTTTAATCTTTAGTGATCACTCTTTTATTTATTTGTTTTGGTTTTTTTGACATGCTCTTTCATTAGCATTTTCAGGAACAAGTCGGCAAGTGTTCTTTTTGGAGGCATCACACGTAAAAAAAATATTGGACAAGTCGGCAAGTAGTGATTTAAAGAAGACAACATCATGTGTTACATCCATGGGACTTAAAATTTGACGATTTTATAATTTTTAACATCTTATCTCACGCGTAGTGCTTAGCATGTGATTTTGTGAGCATTAACATCAAACGAGACGGAGCCAAATATGATACCATGTAAAATAAGGTCTTAGACCTAACTCAGGAGTACATTCATCCATCTTATTAACCATTTATATAAGAATTTTGCAATTCTTTTTAACACTTTTTATCTCATTTGCACACTATCTCTTTCAACTTCAAATAATTTATGAGAATTATCATATTTTATACTATTTTTTTATGATGATGATGTTTAAATAAATTAATTCCTACTTTAATTATTTCATTTAGTATCCACTTTTTCTGATGTATTCAGATTTTTTTAAAACAAATCCCTTTACATTTATTATAAGATAGAAATAAGAACTGGATATATTTGAATTTATCCAAATCATGCTTTCAAATTTTTTCTGAATATGTCAATTTTACATATAATTGAAAGTCTCACATAGATAGCTTTGGAGAAAAAGACTATGAAACTAATATTTA